CAATGGTTTTATAACTCCGTCATGGTGTTTCAATGGTTTTATAACTCTGTCATGGTGTTTCAAAGACCTTCTAAGTCCATCAGGGTGTTTCAAAGGGTTTCAAATTCCTTACCATTTTTCAATGGCCTTCTAACTCCATCACAGTCCTTTAAAGGTCTTCAAACTCCCCAACAGTGCTTCAATGGATTTCTAAATATCACGGTGTTTTAATGTTTTTATAAGTCCATCACAATGTTTCAAAGACCTTCTAATGCCATCATGGTGTTTCAAAGACCTTCTAATGCCATCATGGTGCTTCAAAGGGTTTCAAACTCCTCACGGTGTTTCAATGGTCTTCTAACTCTGTCACAGTTCTTTAAAGGTCTTCACACTCCGTAACAGTGTTTCAAAGCTCTTCTAACATCATCACAATGTTGCAAACATCTTCAAACTCCATCAAGTCATTTCAAAGTTCTTCTAATTCCATCACAGTATATTAAAGGTATCCTAACGCGTCACAATGTTTGCATGTGTACGTTGTACGACATGGAATATGGAAACTGACCAGACATTTGACATCATTTCACACCTGGGGAAATGCTTTTGGCTCAAATGAGATGAAACTGATCAAATGTCTGACAACACTTTCAGTTTTTTGTCACATCCCTGAGTGCATGTTCATCCATCAACTGTCAGCAGCTCTGACACCTGTCACATGACATCTTCTCTGATTAGAACTGCTGACATAAAAAATAAAAAACAGATCTTAAAATATGAAACTGTCCCAAAACTGATACTTAAGAAACATTCATTACTAAGCCAACAAAAATCAGACTTTAATCTAAATGTTTTGATGATGATAAACTCTGTGGATGATTATAATGTACAGTAGTTCATCATATAAGAATCAGCTTTGTTCCTCTCCCTTCAGCTGTTTTTGATGCTGGTTTTTTTTTTTTGTTTCACACCAAACAAAATAATTACTCATTGGTTAAAAATCAGACATTCACTTACAACCAATGAAAAGCAACAGCCATTGTGTTGCTAAGATACAAAGAATACGAGCAAGTGCCGTGTTTCAGATAAAGAAATGTGTCCATAGTTCACCAGCAGAAACGGGAAAATTAAACCAGCGTTCACTGAAGAGATGTAAATTTCAAACACTGTGTGTGCCTGCCTTTGTTAGTGCTATACGGGGTTTTGACAGTAACATTTGCATCTGAAAGAATCTGTTCTCTTGGAAAAAAACAGATTTAAATCCAAGTTAGGAAGGAAACAGTGATCATTGACACGCCTCAATGTGTTGAGCAGCTTAAATAAATCTTAGGTGTATAAACTCCATTAAAACACATTCAGTCATTGTAAACCAGATTCAGTTTTTAATAAGTCTATGAAAGATAATGTTTTAAAAATATATGTTTTGTTGTTCCTACCAACATGTTTTTAACACATCTGCAGCAGCAATTCCAGCTCTACTTATTGTTTGCATTTATCTTTCAGCTGCAGTTTTCTGCACGTCAGCAAACATTAACAGGCTGAGAAGCAGTTAAGACTCCAAATGAACTAATTCAACAATATCTTAAACACATTATATTACAGTATTCAAAAATGTTCTTGTAGCCATTACCACTCAGTCTCTTATATAATGTGAGCTCATTTACATTCTATAGGCTATCACCTCATCCTCTTGGGCATTTCTGCATTCTGTTTCCACAGGCCGTTTCCCACACCTACCTCCTTTCCCACCTTCCAAATACAGTACATATATTGGTATAAGTGTTACGGTTATCTTAGTTTCACAGCTAAAGTTACCATAAGTTACCATGTGATCTTTGGCTATGTCAATGCAGTTACTATGGCCTCATCAATACCGTTCCATTAGCCTCATCAGTCTAATTACCTTATCCCATGAGTACAGTTACCTTAGCCTCATCGATACAATTACCTTGGCCTCATTGATGCAATTACTATGGCCTCATCAATACAGTAATGATGGCCCTATCAATAGTTATCATGGCTTCAACAATTCAGAGACCTTGGCCTTATCACCACATTTACCGTGGCCTCATCAATAGAGGTACCATGACCTCATCAATAGTTACCATGGCCTAACCAGTAGTTACCATGGCCTCATGAATACCGTTACCTTGGCTTCTTGAATACAAATACCAAGACCTCATTATTAGTTACCTTGGCCTCATGAATACCTAGGTCTTATCAATACAGTTACCATGGCGTCATGAATACAAATACCATGACCTCATCAATGCAGTTACCTTGGCCCCATCAATGCAATTACTATAACCTCACATCAACTTTGTTACCAAAGCAGTTTTTTTCCTGCTAAAGAACATCTCAAGAGATCTTTAATCTTTTATAAAACAGAGACTTTTATTTATGCATTTGTTTACAACCAGCTGGATTCAAGAAGCAAGGTTCTTTTTGGGGTTTCGAACAAAGCCTTAGACAGGTTCCAGGTTCCAGGTTGTTCTGAACTGAACACAATCCAAGCCTTACCAATGGATCAAACTCTACTACTGCCTTTCAAAACCTATGGTTCTGAAAGTGTGTCACAAAGACTAAGGATCCCTCTGGTGGTACTCAGAAGACATGTTTGTCTCAATTATTTATAACAGTTGTGTAGAGCTAAAAAGCAGACAGCCATCGAAATGAGAGGTCTATCATCATTACACCAACAAAATGGTGGAAAGGAGAAAATTTCTAGAACTCTTGCGGAAACTGGAGTATAGTTATCCCATGTACTTGTAGCTACTTACGCGGTGCTGGTGAAGTACTGGAGGACTTGCTAGCATCAACAGAGAGGACGTTTCATCTTAAATTTGATTTTGTAATTGTTTAAAAGGCAGAAGAAAATGGTCATAATTATGGCAGAGGGCACTGTGATTTCTGAGACGGTACTTATTTTAAAAGTTTGAGAACCCCTCACCTATAAGCTCCTCCTTCTTACCTACAAACCCCTCAATGCCTTGGTCCTTCAGTATCTATCGGATCTCCTCCTTTATGCACAGTCTCAGAAACTCAGATTCCCAGCCATGAGTCTACATTCTGTCCCTCAAATCCTCTGTAGCTTCAGGAACAGAGCGTTCAGTGTGGCGCCCCCACCCTCTGGAACTGGACTCTTTCAAGATCCTCCTCAAAAAATAATCCTCCTAAATTAAAGTTGTTCAGCTTTCCACTTCCTTCTACGGTATTC